TTGTCTTAATTTTATTTTTGTTCAAGTACAGTTGTCTCTGTTTTCCCCCACCACTCTGCCCACCCCAGCCATCTCCTCCTCCCGCCCTTAATCATACCCCCCTTTGGTTTTGTCCATGTGTCCTTTGTACATGTTCCTGAAAACCATGCCCCCCCTTGTCCCCCCATTATCTCCTCCCACCTCCCCTCTGGTTATTGTCAGTTTGTTCTTAATGTCAATGTCTCTGGTTATATTTTGCTTGCTTGTTTGTTTTGTTGATTAGGTTCTACTTATAGGTGAGTTTTTTAAATAAATTAAAAAATAATTTAGTTTGATGTCTAAGTAGTATTTTTTAAACAGGAAGAACATCTTTCATTATGAGAGTTTGCATAAGAACTGAAATATAAGGCAGCCCCTGCTTTGTGAGGGATAATTCTGGGAAGGAAAGCCTCACCTTATGTTCTGCCACATTCAGTCTGTTTCAATTCCATATGTTTTGCATCTACATCACAGAGCAAGGATTTACAAACATGTCGTCTCAGCTCTCCTGTCATCTTTAAGTTAGACCTTATTAAACTATCAGCCCCATGGCAGAAAAAGAAACAAATTTTTATTTACTGAAATTGCTTATTTCCAAAATCTGTTTGAGAAGACCTAAATCAAAGTTGCAGTCAGACCATGAAATAAGAATAGGAGATCAAAAGCATTACAGAAATCAGAAGAAAAAAGGCCAGTAATGAATTATCCAGCATGAAGCATGGAGTAAAATTTTACACTCAAAAATAGGAGAGTTATGTCAGTTATATCTCAATTTTTCAAATGTGAACTTTGAAAAAAAGTGTAGTAAAAACTGTAGTGGAGTAATACTTTTTATTAATTGATAAAATGTAGCATTCTACCCAATTTTCAAGTAGTTTTTTACTATATAATTAGAAAATGATTTCAATGCATGAGTCCATTAGGAGGAAAATGAAGTAAATATTATGTTCAACATCCATTGTATAAAATGGAAGAAATGGTCTTTAATCAAACCTGTTTTACATTGTCATTGTGTCAATGCTATGGGCATTACAGTATTTGATGTCATTCACAGATGGTGGTCCTTAGCAGACAACATCAGGCAGGTAACATTTTAACAGTCTAACATGACAATAGGAAAAATTTGAGGACAGGTGTCCTGCCATTTCTCTTGTCATTCTGGCTTGAAAGCCACTGCCAGGAGCTTCCAGCTGAACTTTCAGCATGAGCTAGAAAGATGTCAGTTTGAGGCTGAAATTTTTGGTGAAAGCTTGGAATGCAAATAGATTGTGCTGTTTGTTGATTGAGGAAAGAGCTATTTGTTTTGGACAACACAAGTGAAGCAGCTATGTATACTGACTACATATGTTAAACTTTAGCTAATGTTCTCTTTAACTATTTATAACACTGGAAATGCAGATAAACAAGACAAATAATTGTATGCTAATCAAGTGTGTGATATTACTTCTAACACCAATATTTATTAGTCTAAAAATTCATAGGCAATAAGTTTGAGCTTTATGCTCACATTGATTTAAAATAGCTTAAAATTATACAGAAATGCTTAATATGTAAAGTCAATCAAATATAGTTAAAAATATCATAACTGAAAATTCATACTGAAAAAATAGCTATAACTACTTATTTGATAAAGGATATTGACAAGAAAAAATGAAGAAAATATCAATATGTGTGACAGATACTAGCCCCCAGTATCCATTGCTGCTGCAGATGCTTGAAACACGAGAAAACATACATACAGATGAGTCCTGTGGAGGAATAGGGACAAAATGGCCAATCTCTCTAGTGGAGAGCACCCCGTTCTCCCACCCAAGCAGGCTTTTATTAAGAATATAGATACAGTTTGTGAAATACTGTCTCATAAGGAAGATAAAACAAGTAGTTAGCTTTGAAAGGGGCTGGCATATCTCCTGCTGGGATTCTGGGCTGAGATTTGGGGGTTTTATCATTTGAAAAGACTATAGGACTTAAACAGTTTCGTTTCCTGCCCGTGCCTTCATATTCTAATTCAAGGGCATCCTCCCCCAAGCAGATCTCACAGGATTTTGCATATTCTATGTCTCAGGCCTGATTACCCCGGGGGTCTGCTGACTCTGGTCTGGACTGCACCACCCTTGTTATTTCTGCAGGTCTGAGTCGGGCAGAGGAGACAAAAGCAGCTGGGAGACTTGGATTTCTCAAGGACTCAGGCTTTGACAAAGCCGAGGGGGCAGGGGTCAATGTCGATGACCCCTTCATTTCCACAGCCGCCTGAGTCTCCTCCCTTAGGGCATTCCCACGTGACCACTTCTGTCTTAGATTCATCCTCTTTCTGAGAGAACTGTTATCCATTATTGACTGCTGATCATGCAAAGGGAGCCAGGCATTAGAACAGGCAGCGTTCATGCCAGGAAAATAAGTTTTGTCTCCTTAGAGTCTCCTGGTTCAGAGGCTTCTTACTCAGCCTTAGCCACAGGCGGTTACAGTTTACTGAGACCAGGCAGGGCAAACCCCCAAAAATATGTAGGTTTGAAATATCATAATTTCTATTGAAAATGTAGTTGACATTTATGTAAAATTTGATAAGTTTATATAGAATTCTAGCTGCTATGTCTGAGTAAATATAAACAACTCAGGCAATTTAACTCAGGTGTATTATTTCATTATACAAATGACTTTATAGAAATGTGTTGAAGGATTGTTTACTTTTATCTTGTTTGTAATTTATGCATCATGAAAAGGATTTGACCATAGACACTTTTAATGAATTAAAAACATATTTAAACAGGAAACATGTAATACAATTATCCAGATATAAGTACTAACCATGGATAACCAAGCACACTATTAATACTCAGTTAACTATTGCATGGAGAAAGGTATGGAAGTTCAAGACTCATTTTATCTTGAAAAGAATGACACACAAAGAATCTAGAGAAAGAAAAGGGACAGGCAATGAGAATACTGTACTACTACACAGAAATATTACAAGTTTGTCATTTGATTTTCAATTTCTTTAGTATAACATACTGGAAGTATTACTATGAAGAAAAAAAGTTATTTTTTAATATATTGACAACAGACTAAAAGTATGTAAATATAATGTACAGTTAACATTAATATTATTTTATATAACATGCTTTTAAAATAAAAACAAAGTATTTGGTTGAAGAAATGTACAACATCTTACTATTACAGTCAATAAAGTACTATTGCACTAAAAGCAAGATGCATAAAATTAAAATAAGCACATTATAACTTAATTATGTTTTCAACATGATAAAAGAAAACTCAACATTGTTTGCTTACTAATTTTGTATAAAAATCAGGAGCTTTGTCCCACAGGAAGAAAAATTCAAAACCTTTTTTTCTTTTTTTCTCGAATCAGAAATCCAATTCTTTTTTTTATTGTCCATTGAGTTGCTAAACTCCAACCTAGCCCAAAGACAATATAGTAAGGAATTTTGTGTTTTAATTAGAAATCAAAGTGGAAAGGGTTCTAACATTTATAATTTCAATCATTAGATTAATAATTAATGTATAAACAAGTAAAATTCTAGGATTCATGGAACTTGCCTTTAAAAATATATATTTTGACATTATATAGGCAAAAAACTCTAGAACCGTAACTTTTAATATTACTCCAATTATGTATGTGTTTGATTCAGCAGATGAATCAAGCCCTAAAATTAGCTCATCAGCATATAGAGTAGATGTAAATTTTACAGGTGACACACAGGAGGAAAATATGGTGTATTTAAACTATGGTGAAATAGTCGTTTTTAATCTTCAAGTGACATTCCAAAATGAAACATACTTTTGGTGAACCTTTGCTAAGGCAAAATTAAATTCTGTTAAGGGCATTTACTTACTGGATTAATACAAGAGTTTCTGAAAATAATAAAAATTTTAATAGCAGTATTCAAAATATTGTTATTTTGCTTCTAAATTCTAAGTCATAAATAATTTTGAGGTGCAGTTTAAATACTGTCCAAAAAAATTTGGAGTGTTTCAGATGTAAAATTAAGATATTACGTGGAATTGGAAATGAACTGGGAGAAATCATTTACTTCAGAACTGGGTAAGAGTTCCTTTTTAAAACTAAAAAATAATTTGAAGTAGGTTCCCGTTAAAACAAATGACAGTGTATTGTTTAGAAAAAATTAAAAATTTCCTCCAGGCATTTATTTTTATGGAAAAAAGATAATATGGAAAAAATATAATATTGTATTCGAGAATTAGTTGAATGGAGAGTGAGTTTCCACAGAGTTACAGGGCATGAGAATGTGTGGCCAAAGAGAGCTTATGTTACAAAATTCCCAGGGAGAGATAAGTACTTATTTTTTTTTATTTTGTTGAACTTATTGGGATGATACTGGTCAATAAAATTATACAGGTTTCAGGTGTACAATTCTATAATACTTCATTTGTATATTGTATCATATGTTCACCAACCCAACTCAAGTCTCCTTCCATCACATTCAACCTCTCTTGACCCTCTTCTGCCACCCTCACCATCTTTCCCTCTGGCAATCATCATACTGTTTCTGTGTGTGTGTGTTTTTTCTTGTATTTTATAAGCTACTAAATATTCTCATCTGAAGAGAGATAATCTAAATTACCTCCAGGTCTTTTCCCATTTTCCATCATCCACCCTCCATCTGTGATAGTACCAAACACATTAAAATGAATTAATAAGTTCAGAAGTGTTGGAGCTGTTAAAAGTTGTACCCCATTTTAGCATGTGGAAAAGGAGCAAAGGTCAAGATGTAATTCACACTGTGTCATTTAATAGCTATGGCTTTGGGCGAGTTACATAACCTCTTTTCCCCTCTGAAAATAAGAACAATAATAAATACATCACAATATATTGTGGATGAAAAGCCATTATAAGCACTAATTCAATAGCAGCTTTTCTTCCTATTACCATATGCCAGGTTGTTCCACACCACACAATCCTGTGTATTTCTAATACTTAACTACTTCTTCGCTTCACCCCACAGAGAGAAGCCTTGATTCATCAGATATTGCTCCTAAGCCCACGATTTTTCTTCCTTCAGTTGCTGAAATAAATCTTCATAAGGCTGGGACATATCTTTGTCTCCTTGAGAAATTTTTCCCCGATGTTATTAAGGTATATTGGAAGGAAAAGGATGGCAATGCAATTCTGGCATCCCAGCAGGGAAATACCATGAAGACTAAGGACACGCACATGAAATTCAGCTGGCTGACCGTGACTGCAAAGTCAATGGATAAAGAACACAAATGCATCGTCAAACACGAGAATAATAAAAGAGGAATTGATCAAGTAATTCTTTTTCCTTCAATAAATAAAGGTATGTGCATACACATATCACCTCCCAGAACACTTCTGTTCCCATAGTGACTGTCCCAAGTGTCTGTCAAATATTAATAAAAAAGGTATATCTAAATCTTTCTTAAATGTTGCTACAATTAACAGTAGCAAAATATCCTGTTATTTTACCACAGAATCAAAATATTACAGGCTTTAGACCATTGAAAGTTAAAGAATTAAATAATTTTACTCCTCTCAGCCTCAGATTTATCATCCAAATATTGAAGTCACATGATGATTTTTAGGGTTGCTCTGTGGTTTAAATGAAGCAACATACATGAAAGCACCTAGCAATTTATCACACAACAACTGCTCAAAAAGAGTTTTCACTTTTTTAAAAAAAAATTTTCTTTATTTATTTTTAGAGAGGGGAAAGGAAGGAGAGAGAGTGAGAAAAATAGATGTATAGTTACCTCTGGTGTGTTCCCTGCTGGGGACCTGGCCCACAACCCAGGCATGTGCCCTGAATGGGAATAGAACTGGCAACCATTCAGTTTGCAGGCTGGCACCAATCCATTGAGCCACACCAGCCAGGGCAGGTTTCACTTTTGATGATCTTACTTGACCAGAAAATAAGAAGAATTATATATCATTCATGAATTTTCTCCTCAGCTAGAAAGTCACAGTCACTTCAGTGCTGCTATACTCAAAGTATAATCAATGAATTGTTAGGCAACGGGTGGTATCTTTCTGAGGGAGCCAGATCAAGGTTCAACAAAAACAGAATGATTTAGTCCTGCGGTGTTTGTCTGCTCCTAGGCTTTTCAGGTTTGTATTAGATACACCACAGTATGTAAATGTCATAATTAAGGATTGGGATGCTGACGTGTAGAAACAGATTTCCATCCTGCATAATGAGCACGTATATCTTGCCACTGGAAACACCCATGCAATGCACTTGTAGTGGAAGTCAGGCCAGGAAGCCTGTGATGAATACACTAGGATGAATTGCTATCCCGAGAAAGATGCACACAGTGAAGAGAATATCCTCTTTCTCTAAACATTCAGGGCCACTCGAGATTCAGGCATGTTGTCGCAAAAGAGGGCCTTTGACTTAGATTTCGTACATATTTAGACAGTGTGGGCAGAGCACTGAATGTGCTCTAGCCCCAGTAGTGGTCTGGGAACTCCCAAGACTCAGAACTTAAAGTCCTGAGTATTAACAAAACAGATCAAAGTCCCCAGAGTGCACATAGGAAAGAGTCAAATGGTGTTGTTCCTGGTGGTTAACAAAGGCTTTTAAGCAGTGAGGACCAAACCCATAACAAGATATGCTAGGACCTTTGCCATGTACCAGTTGGAATTTCAAAAGTAAGCTTTCCTTCTCAGTCCTGAGTTTCCCCAATGATCAAATCATGTTTGAATGCTGGCCTTAGCTTTCTTCTCCTGGGGCTGTGCTGAACAGCAAATGAAATCATGTCAGTGAAAATGCTTCCTTTTGAAAATTAATATAAGTGTATTTATTTATGTACAAGTATTTATTTATATCCTTTCCTAAAACTAAAGTAAGGTTGTCAAAACAGCCTTAATTTTTCTATTTCTACAGCTAAGAAACAGAGACCAAGCAAATATGCAAAGCACAAGTATAATATAATCACTGGGCTTAAGTGTTCTATTATGTTTTCATTTTTCTAGTGATCAGGGGTGACTATCTTAAAGGAGAGAAGGTCCAGTTTATAAGGTGTTTACTGGGCACTTAATTTCTGAAACATGGAACAAAGCTAACCCAGGCATTTCTGTTAATGTCATTCTATGGAAAATTTCTAATGCTGTTGCTTGGAAGTTTGTTGTTCTTTTTTGACAAAAGCTAAAACTATTAACATGGAAGCACAAATCAATGAAGCAATTTTGAAGAGACACAAAATAAATGGTTCTAGTTTTTGACCAAATTAGGAAAAAGTATTAGGTCATATCCACAGATTTTATTATGAAAAATTGATCATTTATTGTTTTTATGTCAAGCAATACATGGCGGTGACATTATTTATTTGTCTTTTAATGAATAAAGTCACTCTAAGGAAACTAAGAGAATTTTAAGAGGCAGTAAAGTGAGTTTTTGAAGCTATTTTAACATCTAAACATGATTATACTAACATTTTCAATCTTGGGATTTACCCCAAAGCCTATATACCTCACACCTATTTCTTTAGTGCACACCAAGAAAAGATGTCATGAGCATATAGAATTACATACTGGGATTGTATCCATATGGCCAAGAACACATTTAGTAGAAAAGGATAAGCTAAAGCAACCATTGTGACTGTTTTCCTCCAACAGGTGATGAACTTTTAAAAAAAATTTGTCTTTGTGTGTACATTTGCCTTTTAAAAAAACATTGTAGATAAATACAACTCTCATCTCAGGTTTTATATATTCAGAGAACTATAAATGTGACTTGGTTTATCTTTTTATTCCTGGAAAGTATTTCACTGAAATGCTGAGTTCCTGAAATAAAACGGTCATTTACTAAGTATAATGAGTAAATCTATAATTAGTATCTCTTCCATATCTGGAAGAGATGATGTTTTAGTGTCCACTATCTTGGAGTTATGTTGTCTCTATGGATTATTTTCTATTTCTATGGATTGCTGTAAAGGGTACTTTCCACATGTTCTCTTCCAATTACTCTCCCACTACCATCCTTTGAATGCTGGCTCTGCCGTCACTGGTATGACTCTCAGCAAGTTATGGGCACTCTCTGCACCTCATTTTCTTGTCTGTAATTTGGAGTCCAAAATATACCTCACTTCAGTGTTTCTGAAAGATTAAATGAGATAATACATCTGAGGCATTTAACATACACTGTGCCACACAGTAATAATCACTCAAAAGACATTAGCCTTCATTAATATTGTTGTCATGTCCACAAAGACCACAGGTCCAGAAAATTATGTGCATGAACAAGGTCACTGGGGATATGCATGCTTGGGAAAGGTATGGCTTAGATGGGAATTTTCTTAAATAAGACTATTTCCAATATGTAAGATTCTGTTATGGATTCTATGATTAAATGAATTCATTTGGGAAGCAACTGTTCATGTCAGTGTGTGCTGAAGACTGTAGAGCAGCTCCTTCTTCTGTTTATTTTTTCCATTCAGCAAGTATTTATTGAACAGCTGCTTTGTGGTGGACACTGTGCTAGGAGCAATGAATGCAGGAGGAAACGGGTAGTCTTGTATAGCACGCTCCTGTTATGATTAAAAAGAAAGAATGTATCCTTCATGAGCAGCATCTTCATGTGCAGAAACACAATATGTGAATTCAGTTTACTGAATTACATGGAGTCTGAACATCTCTTCCTAGAATGGGAGAACTCATATTTTTAACAGCTCTCTCCTCTCTGTGGGCAGATTCTATATCTATCTATCTATCTATCTATCTATCTATCTATCTATCTATCTATCATCTATCATCATCTATCATCTATCTAGCTGTCTCCCCACACACAGACACAAGATGTAAGTAACAATTACAAACAAATCATTAATAGTTGCTCTCATTTCTTGTAGAGGTTGCTGCTATTAATCCTAAAGTAGATGATTGTCTGGAAGATAAAAGTGGTAAGTTTCTGCATATATTTGCCTTTATGTAATGTGATCACATTTTTCCCTCCTGATCAACATAAGTTTTGAACTTCTAGAGCTTAGCATGGCATAATGAGAATGGCTGGATTTTGCAGAATAGACCAAGTGCTATTTTAAGCCAATCCATCCTTTCCTAGTAGTCATCTTAACACAATGAATGCTGGCTTTTGGCATGAGATGACGGTGAATTACAGGGTGCCCATGATATGCTCAGGATTATTTCAACACTGACTTTATTCATTTGTATGGCTTTTGTTTCTAATGACTAGGGAACATGTGATATCAAGTTGCTTTTAGATTTTTTTGTCTTTGGTCCTTGCTAGTAATAATAACCTGAAATTACTGTTTAATTCTCTTAGTACTATGGAGTATAGTCTTACACGTTAGATTAAGATTAAGATTAAGATTAAGATTAGTTTGAACAAACAATTTTCCCATTTCACAGATGAGAGCAATGAGATAAAATGACCTCCCTTATACCAAGCCAAGCAGCTAAATCTGTGGTTTTAACCCAGGCCATAGGAATCAAGAGCTCATACACTTACTCAGTTCTCTATTCTTCCTCTGAGAGTCAAGTCACAGAGCAAGAAAGCCCAAAGCCACGATCCTGAGACACAATGGATGCATGGCAAGGATGGTGGTAGGGGGCAGTGCCTGGCTTCCCAGTGCCATTGACTGGGCTTCAACCCCAGTTCTTTTAATTACTAGTGACATGAATATGAGTACTTACATTTTCTGAAATACTTTCCTCACCTGCCAACCAGGAATAATTACACCAAACCCAGTTATTTTGGGGATACAGTCACATATGTGGAATGTCCAGCATAGGGTATCTCAATTAGCTGGCATAGAATATGTACAATTTTCTGGCCTTTTATCCCTACATGTGTACAAGGAAAGCCCCTAGAAGCATTGGTTCTAGCTCTGCTGAGCTCTCCTCCATTTTCAATATCAAGGGGGCTGTGGACCTCAGTTAACACCTTACCTGGTGAACACAAAGAACTTCTGAGCACATCTGCTCTTGAGGTTCCTTTCAACACCAAGTACTAATGATTCTGGAGTTCTGACACTGTGGAGATAAAACTTGTCAAAGGGAAATTTCCACAGGAAAGGACTTGGCCTTGTGGTTTATTGAGTAGCAGTCAGGCCCACCACACTGTCATCAATTATTTCTTGACATCATGTATTTCTTGCAAAACTTAAAAGATATTAAGTGCAATTACCCTACAGTGTCATAGCCACAATGAGGGATACTCAGGAAAGACAGGTGAGAGAGCTGTGATGTCTTAAAGTTTCAGAGCATTTGGATTAACCACTTTCTTCCCATTAACATAATGTCCTCTGCTAAAACCTGCAGCCACCTGCTGGTGACCACCACCATATGTTCGAGGACCCGATCCTTACTTGGAATCATATTGCATGCACATACAATGACTCAGATGCGTCTAAATCAGCGACCCAATTTTATATTAACTCTTAACCCCTTGATGTCAGGGTATTATTCATTGCCCTTGGAGATACACAATTACAGAGGGACTAAAAATGTGTTCTGTGAAGTCATGTTGTTGAGATTGAAATCTGGATTCTGGCAGTTACTAAATGCATAACATCAGGCAAATTTCTTCTCTCTGTGTCAACCTTTTATTTTTATAATGGGAACTAAAATAATAATTTCATAGGTTACTATAAAAATTATATAAGATTAAAGTCTAATAAAAGCTTACAGAGTGGGATTTGGGTAGTATTTAATGAATAACATTAATTAACTTTTGTTATTAATTAGAGACAGAATAGTGATGAAGAAATGACTAAATTACAACAAATTCTATTTTCTCATTGAACTCCCATTAAAAATGCAATTTTAGTTTTTAATATTTGTAGTGCTATAAGTAACATGACCTACAAGCTACATTGTAAGTTGTCTTGTTGTTTTTGGTGGTAGTAGTGGCAGATGTTTGTATATTGGGGGGTTTGGTGGTATTGAGATGTCACCTCAATGTAGATCATAAACTAAATGATTACAACCCCTCCCATTAATATATCCTATCCTTTCAAAGAACAGATGGAACTAATCAAATGACTTCTCCTAGATATACTGCGGTTGCAGCTCACCAATACCTCCGCCTACTACACCTACATCCTCCTCCTCCTCAAGAGCCTGGTCTACTTTGCCATCATTTCCTTCTGTCTGTTTAGGAGAACAACAGTCTGTGGTCATGGAAAGAGTTCATAACAGATGATGGCACAATTTTTCTTCATTCTTTTCCCTGGACATGTCTGCTGAGGATGTAGCTGGACTTCCTTTCTGGGTTTGGATTATTTCAGTTCCCATGCATTTTTCTATCACATCATTATCACATAAATGGTTTTCAAACCACTGGGCAAATGATACTTTCTCTCTGTAACAACCAGTTTGGCTATGAATCAGGTGCAGGGCCTAAGGGTACTCTTTAGCACCACCCTTCCCATAATCTCAGTCACCTCCTCTAGCAAACCCACATAATCATGCCTTCTGAGTACAGACAGCACGCAGCTCCTAGTCCCATTCCTTAGTGCTCTTTATCCAGGGACCTATCCTGAGGCTTTCCATTTCATGCACCAGAAGCTACCTTCTCAGCTGCTTTTATTCTGTATGTTGTTTTTTATAGCTGGCACAATAAATGCTTTTAATCAAAAGTCTACTTTTGTTTATTTTTGTTAATTAGATACATCTAATGAAAGTCCCAGATAAGAGAGAACATGGCAAATGAGTTATCAGATTCAGCAATGTCATCATGGTCAATACCACCCTTGTGTTTCCTTCCCTGGGACTGTAGTTAGAATCTTTTCTATGGGCCATGGGTTCCAAGGGGGGCCAGAGCCAAAGGAAGGTGGCCAGGTTACTTTTCTCTCAAAGGTCACCATATTCATACTCATATTCATTGGTTTGGGAAATTCCAATGGTGACAGTGTAACATCTACCAAGATTGGCACTCTGTGCTCAGATCTATACCAGCGTTTCACAAGCTTCAGGTTTCCTGATCCTCACAACCACCCAGGAGAACTGCTCTGACACTGGAGAGGCAGTGTGGTGGAGGGTTGGCTCCTCCCCTCCGAACCCGAAGTGCTTGGATTTGAATTCTGGGTCTAGTATTGGTATCTGTGTGAACTCGGACAAACTATTTGAACTATATGTGACATAACTTTCTCATGTGTAAAATGAAGTCACAGTGCCTGGTCTCGTGGAGTTGTGTGAAATAGATGAGTTAATAATGTTTGGTACATGAAAGTCCTCAACAGCTGCTATTAGTTACTTGACTTTAGAAAATAATAGATTATGCATGCACATACACACACACACACACACACACACACACACACATCTTGACAATCATCTCTAATCATATTTCCCTGCAGACAGGTTAGATGTGGATGGAATATGGACTCGGTGATTTTTTGCTACACTCCAGGAAATCCCATTAACCCTCTCAGAGCCCTTGGAGGTAGGTGTAGTTCACAGTTTATAGATAGGAGAGATTATGTTATCTGCTCATGGTCACCATTTTGTAATAGTCATTTGGAGCCAGGTATCTCTAAACTCAGAGCCCACATTTTGTTACCTAGTATCATGTGACTTCTCCTTTACCTGTTTTCAACAGGGAAGGACAAATCATGCACTGCTTCTTCTCCAAAGCCAGTGAGACTTTTCTTAGGACTTGTGGGTGCATCTCTATTTTCTCCTCAACTCTATACTCTGGTAGAACCATAATTGCTCCCTTTATCACCAAAAGTATGTAAATTTTGCCTTATTTTATGTGTGTTTTAGATGTGCAGCTCCTCTTTGTGTTAATGAAATGAACTAAGAGTCTCAGGCAAAGCAAGTCTTTAACAGTGCCACTAGGGGCACTATTCTGACATTCCAGCTCCTCCCTTAGACAGAATGGGTCCAGGGGTCCCAGGAATTGCCTTGTGGATGCCTCTTGTTGTTTCTGGGCTTTTCTGAGGTAGGAGGTGGGTATAGTTCTATTTTGGTCCAGTACTTTTCCATCACAGCAACACTGCCACATGGTGTGGTGGGAGGAACTCTAGGCCAGAACTTTCACCTGAAGCTCCACATTTAGAGCCTCATTTATTTGGTCTGTCTTGAACTGGCTGTGTCATTTGATCTTGACCATGTCATATTGCCTATGTTTATCCATCTTTAGAAGAAAGTGTTCCAATTCTAAAGAATTCTAAAGAAAGTGTTCAGATTTCTAGCACAATTTACAAATTCAATGATCCTAATGAAGTAATAATACAAAACTTGCATAGTGCTTACTGGTACTGGTCTAAGAATGTGTTAACCTGTATCTCACAAGAACCCCATGAAACAAGTACAATTATGACTGTTCTACAGATGGGGAAACTGAGACAAAGAGGGGATAAACAATATCCCCATAGTTAGACAGCTAATAACAAGTAGGGCTGGGATTTGAACCCAAACAATCGGGCTACAGGGCATCTGCTGATTATTTCTATGTGACTGGCTACTAGAGCAGAAACAGGTTCCTTTAGGTTTGAATTAAGATAGAAAAATTTCCTTCTTATTAGGCTAAGAGCTGATGAAGAAAACTGTCTCTTTCCCTGTATACAATTTCTTTCCTTACTCCTATTCTGTTCAAACAATTAATTACAGGGTCCTAACAAACCTACCACACAATTTTTCATGTTGGGAAAAATTTTAAATGCTGGCCTCCCACCCACCAATCAGACATCTGTTATTAAAGTCCATGCCACTTGGTTGGATAAAAGAAATACCAGAACAACAGGCGGCATCCACAGGTGTGCAAAGGAACAACTGGGCAAAGATTTATACAATTCCATGTAATAGCACTTACGTCTCTGGTCTTTATGGAGCTAGCATACTCCAAACTTCTCAATCATAAAAAAGGCAAACTTCAAGGAAATAATTCTCAGGTTTTTACCAATATGAATTCTCCCCAATGCTTAGGATTCTTTTCTTCATAAACTTGTAGATTTTTTGAGGCCTTTATGTCAGCCAAGCAGGCTACAGTTAAGTAATACTTGATTTTCCTTTTAAGTTAATCAAGTTTTAAATAATTACCAATTATAAAATCTGCATAATAAAAAATAGCCAGAGACACTATACCAACATGGTACAATTCAGCCAAAAAGCTAGAAATCCAACACTTCGAAAGCCATGACAACTCACTTGGGTAAACTCTTGGTCTCTGTCAGGCTCTCTCAGGCTGTTTTTGTTTGTTTTCTTTTGTTTTGTTTGAATAACAGCCAGTACCTGCAACATAGTGAGCACCAGGAATGCTGCCAGGCAGTCTGCATGCTCTGTGTCCAATGCTCTCACTGTACCACAGTGCAGGTATCATGCTCCTTTAGCTGATGGGAAGACCAGAGAGGCTCAGAAATATGCCTGAGGCCAATCACAGGGTACTGCCAGGGTCCACAGGATTCCAGGGCCATCTGGAACCTGCTGTTAAACTGTGCTATTTTACCCATTGTACCAAAGGCTCTCTTCCTGGAGCCTTTAAAAATCATTCAGGCCCAGACTTCTTCATAGACCACGCATCAGACTTTAAACAGCCTCCTTCAGTAATTCTAATGTGTAGTCAAGCTTGAGGCCATTAAATGACTGAAAGCTCCTGAGCTTTGGTGCTACTGTCTCTGCTCTCAGGCAGCCAGGAGCCATCACAGGGCCCATCCCACAGGAGAAGATGCTGCATCCTGGAAAGTGTTCTAACCATCGGCCCATCAATTTCATAAGGAAACGGATGGCATGGTCTAAGACATAGGTGTGAGGATGTTCATTCACTAAAGCGCTACTTACAGCAGCCCCAAATTAACCCAGATGCCCCATAAGAAACTAAAACAATAAACAAAAGAATGTCATATGACAGACTACTATACATCTTCAAAACATGTAGATTACTTAAAGAAATGAAATATCAATCAGGAAGTGTTGTTGAAAAATAATGTGCATAGAAGAACCCTACTAAAATTGTTTGATAATACCTTCATGTGGCTCCAAGAACAAAACACTCTAAAAATGCATTAAGAAATCCTGCTCCAGCCTCTGTTCCTACCTCCCCAACCTCTTACAGGTCACACTTTTGTTTCTTGGGCATCCTTCTAGGTTTTGTTATGCATCTATGAATATGCATATGTCAACATATATGCATGTGTGTATATATTATAATTTCCCCCTTAATACACAAATGTAGTAAACAATATACATTATGCTGCACTACTCCCTTTACTTACACATATTAGAGCTCTTATGTCAGTGTATAGATCATTTAGTTGTATATTTACCTTGGAATATAGAGTACTTTATAAAACCACAGGCACAGTCATAGACATGAAACAAATGTTCAATATATGGTAGTTGGGTAAAAAAAAAGTGATTGCATATTTTTCTATTTTCTCCAATGAATCTTTTAAAAGTAAAATATATATTAGAGTTAAAACAACATCTCATTTAAAATTGGGAAGATTTTATTTGTTGCAATCAGCTTCAGGTTCTATGGAACAGGTTCTTTTGGAAATGAAGTAGAGGTTCTCATTTAGAAACAAAATAAGACCAATAAGATACAATTAATATCAAATTATATTTGATCTACTCCTTGGTTTTTATTAATTTGGTCAGACTTCTTAAAGCCAAGTACTCGGCCTGCTATGTAAAGCAACAATTTTCAAGTGGTGTGCCACAAGAATTCTTAAAACATGTAATACCTGACTGTTAGTCAGGGGCAATGAGCTCTTTTTCTTATATTGTCATTAAAAAAAAAGACAACAGCCAATTGAACAATAGCACTCTGACATTGAATGCCCTATCTTGAACCATAAATATGTAAATCATATAACAGACTTTCATCTTATTGGTCATATCACATAATAAGGCTGTGTCTGACTGGTTAAGTAGTAGTACCAGAAATCCTCATCTACAAGTATAGCCCCATAATTTTTTGAAATGTCACTCTGAGCACTAAAAGTAGGCAATTACTATTATTATTTTTGGTAAATCAATCAAAACTATATGTATTTTTGTCAGATCAATAAAATTATAGTTTTTGGTATGCCACAGATTTTTAATAGTTTATGTGTGCCATGAGATGAAAAATGTTGAAAATCTCTGACTTAGTGGAAACTACTTCTGCATTGGGAAAGTTAGGAGCATAGAGGATACTTGAAAATCACTGAACACTTTGTGCAGCCAGTTTCACAGAGGCAGCATTTCCTATCCCACCAAACTTCTTAGCAACTTCCTTCCTCAGCTCAACCTGGGCTGCTCTGAAACAGGCAGTAAGGGAAGGAGAGCAAAGGTGGTAGAGGCGACAGAGTGGCTGGTGGGAGGGTGCTGCTGTGGCTGATGGTGCTTTAGTTTCTCAGGCTTCTTTTGTTGAGGTGCTCTGGCAATGTGGTTGATTCGTGGAAAATGTTCAAAGTCAAACCAGCCCCTACTAGTTAGGTCTGTGCAAGCAGTGGTTTGGGTGTTATAAGATAAAATAAGGGCAGTTAAACCACAACCAAATTTTTTCACATTGGAGAGACCACAGGTAATGTAAAGAAAATAGCCTTTTACATACACAAGCAGGTGATTATTTACAGACATATTCTTAGGCTGTGAGTAGAGGTTGCCCACTTTTTTAATCCTC